ACCTAGTGAATTTCGCCAGCATTGCTATTTTCCGTTGGCGCGCGAAGACTTGGGAACGCACCAGGGACTTTATTTTCGACACTACATTGGAAAAGGAACTCTTAATGTCTCTGGTGGTCAAGCAATTGGCATTCCTCTCGCTATTTGCACGGTGAGATTTCTCCCCCTTGTAAGCCGGTACCTGAAGCTAAACAACCTGCAGTGCAAACTAGAGCTTGGACGAGTTGGCATCTCCCAGTCTGAGATCCCGGGACTTCTATTCCAAGCCAACATGGCCTTCGAGTTCGAAAGTAATCACGAGCAATATCCTGCATATGTCATCAGCGTGCGAGGTTGGAGATTTCGGTTCGTGAAAGGTATCATGACCCAGCAGGAAGTTGCCCGTTTCCAAGACAAGAAAAAGCGATCAGCGAGGATCAAGGTGCAGCGGACCGGGGAGTACGATATCTATGACCGCGAGGAGCGCAAGGACTTTATCAGAGTTATGCTAGGCTTGTTGCGATCATTCAAAGATCGACGCGAAGCAGACTTTTCTACTGAACTGCCCTAATTCGGTGGTGACGTACAACCAGTGATGGTGTATATGTGCGTGTGTGTACAGAATGCCGTTATCATTATCTTGTGGAGCTATAGCGGCTGAAGTTAAGACACTTGGACAGGTCTTGTTGATCATTGGCCTGATAGTTGTAGTGTTATTAGGCCTGCACTGGGTACTTATTAAGTTTCATTTCTGTTCATCGGGGCCTCGGAAAGCAGACAGGTTGCTTCACGTCCCACCAATCCAATATGATCAATCATCACGCAAACATGAGCAGCAAACCAGCTCTACCGTTGAACTAAGCAGTAAGCACTAACACAACCAAGGAATAGCCTAAAGCCCATACAAGCATCGGATATGAAAAGGATGAACAACGACGACAGGGTAGAAAGCACACGCAAGCATGTCCGTTGTTCCCAAACACCAACTCCTCCATAAGAAGTGGTGAAACAATGGACATGATGTTGGGATAATTAGGTGGAACATGAGTGGTCGAATTCATACCAGTTATCCGGCCTGGTTCCTGGTCCGTCGGACGTCCGAGCTTCCGGCTGGCGTCGGATAGGCTGCTATGGTGATAGAGCCAAGGAGTGGGGCCAATTAGATTATTCTAGTGTATGAGCTTTAGGTTCTGGAGATACTTGATAGTCATACCATCTTTCCTTTCGACTTCTCCTTTTTGGAAGAAAGCGAGCAAGTATTCTGACTGTTCCTGCTATACAATATCAACATCAAGGACAGGCGTATAGTTAGGGTTGAAAACAGGGGCTCGGGATTACCTAACAAAAAGGGTTCAGGTGGGGCGGATCCTCCGATGGCCCGTGGTGACTAAGGCGCCACCGTTGCGCCCCTGCTATCATCACGTGCTTTTTTTTTTTCCTTTCGGGCGAGACCACGTGAGAGCGAGATCGGACAGCTTCTCCTCGCTCGCAGTCCGTTTCCCCCGCGCTGGATTGATTCCATCCCAATCTCAGTAAGAAAGGGTCTGGATCCCTCCATTCGTCTCCTCCTCGAAAGGATCTGCACGCACAAACAGCGCGCCTTGACATAACCTCACCCTTTTCGGTGATTATTTGTTTTACACTTCTCCGACTCTCTCTCCGAAGTTCTTTTTTCCCTCACGTGGGCTCGTGCCCAGCCAATTTCCCCGGCAGACCACCGAATATTCTTTTCTTTTTCTTATTTGGTGTTATAATACCACATCCTATTTCGGCCCTCTTACTACCTTCCCTACTATCAGCCTGGAGTCTTCCGAACGATCGCCCAGCGTAATCGGAGGCAGGGACCTGCAGGGTGCCATCCTGGAGCCACTCGCAGGAGAGAATGCTTCTGCTGCCCCCAGTCCCGTAATGGGAGGTGTCAGCCATCCATCTGTCTCCCCTGCTGTTGGGTCTGATGCTGCGGGTCCAGCCAGGAAGCGCACCACCACCATGGCGGGGTTGGACAGCTCCCCGGGCAGTATTGATGATATCGACGGGCAGGACAATCAGGAAGAGAAGAAGAGACAGCCTGTGAAACGGGCCTGTAATGAATGTCGTCAACAAAAGGTAAGCTCCGCCACTTAGGGTTTCTTTACCTCCGAGACATGTGGCTTATCTGAATTGTTGTTAACCTTTTTTTTCATTTCATACAGCTCCGATGTGATGTAATTCAAGACCCGTGGACAGATTGCTCTCGATGTCGTCGTCTGAAGCTCGACTGTAAAATCGAATCCAACTTCAAACGGGTTGGGAAACGCAGTCGCAACGCCGAGATGGAACGCGAGATCATCGAGCTGAGAAAGCAGATTGCTACTGTGCAGGCTGGAGCTATACCTCCGTCACAGTCGGCGTCTTTGCCACCGGTTCAGACTCCCAAGCAAGAAACGGCCAGTCAGGTTGGCTCGGGAGTCTACCATACGCCGTCGGCCATGTCTACGGATCAGTATATGGGTTCTCATGAAGCTGTTGCGTCGCTTCTGGATTTGCGCTCTGGCTTTGATGGCACGAACTTTATGAGGAACGGCAATCATCACTTCAAGCGCATTGAAGATGTCGCGGTCGTTCCGGAGAGGGTGACAGAGCTGTTTCATCTGTAAGGCCTGAGCAGACTGTACTGTTCACAGGTCAATGCTAATGCTGTTAGGTTTTTCACCTTCTACCATCCGTTTCTACCGTTCCTTGATCGAGACCAGTCGCCTGATGATTACTACAGCGCATCGCCACTGCTGTTCTGGACCATCATCAGTGTAGGCGCGCGGCGCTTCCAAGCCGACACCCACCTTCTCAATTCCCTCTCAGGCCCGGTTTCGCGACTGGTGTGGAGTACGCTGGCGGACATCCCACAAAGCTACCACGTCGTGAAGGCTCTCTGCTTGCTCTGTACCTGGCCTTTTCCTACCAGCAGCACGTCCACCGATCCGACCTTTATGCTCTGCGGTATGATGATCCAAGTGGCAATGCAGCTTGGGCTGCACCGTCCATCTCACACGCAGGACTTTAGCAAATTCCGCGTGGAGCTCATTGAAGAGGAACTTCGAGACAAGGTACGGACGTGGGCAGTCTGCAACATTGTCGCCCAACGGTATGTGGTTTCATCATCGATTTCGATTCTTTACTGACCGCGATGTAGGGTTGCTACTGGTTATGGCCAGCCTCCGTCTAGTGTGTACGACTGGACACTGTCTTCAAATGATTCGATGGACCCCAACTTCAGGTTGCCCGACGACATTAGGTCAAGGCTGGAGATTGAAAAGTTTTGCGACAAGGTCACCAAATCTTTATACACCAATCGGCGGGACCCCGTCGGACTTTGCAGCGATCAGGAGCGATCAACATTGATCTCGTTCCTGTCTCGGGATTTCGATGAACTGGAGAATCAGCTGAAGGCGCACAATGACAGTACGTTCTATCTTAGGCATCATGGTATTATAAAGACGGTCTAACTTTTTCAGGTATCACCAATCTCTATTTGCGCGCATCGAATCTGCACCTCCATCTGTCTGCGTTCTTCGACGACACAACCGCAAAGGATTATAGAGAGCGTCTTCTCTCGCTTTATGTTGCTACCACGACGTTCCTCGAAGCAGCGATGAACCTCGAAACAGAAGTCGGCCCGGTGCTGTCGTACACCCCGTACTACGTGTATCAGATGATGGTTGCGGGCGGATGTACTCTACTGAAGCTATGCAAGAGTTTCTTCGCCGCGCACATCGACATGGATTATGCAAAGAACCTCTTCAACCGGACGATCTGGGCCATTAGACGCGTGTCTGTTTCCAGCAACGACCTGCCGGAGCGACTGGCGGAAGTAGTAGCGCAGATGTGGCGGCTGAACAACGTGCCCACACCGAAATTGACGGCAGACGGCGGAGAGGTCGACGATTCGCTGATGCTCAAGGTGCGCTGCCGAATGAGCATGTCCTTGCTTTTTGACTCGGTCTGGCGGTGGCGGGAAGACGCGCGGACCAAGGGGCGTAATCTCGAAGGTATGCATGGATGCAAACACATCGACGTATGTATCGGAGACTGACAATAACTGCAGCTTATCTCAAAAACCCAACCAACCCAGACTCCAACGCCGAATCCTCCAACTCGTCATCTGTTCAACCGACGCGCACCTCGACCGCGACACCCGGAGTCGCCGGCGCCGCAGACCCCAGCCTCGCGCCAGCCCCCATGCTCCCCCAGGCTAACATGGGCGTATCCGCACCGAGCGCTGTAGGCGCCCTTCCCAGCGGATTTATGGAACCTAATTACGAAGTATTCGATCCGCTGAACTGGCTTCTGGACGGACTGGTCGATTTGCCGTATTCATACTCGACGATATCGGGGATCGAGTCTCAGGGTATTGCATGAGCAGAATAATTCTGTTTGTTCGACGACTGACATGGCACATAACTTTTTTACACTATTTTACATATATTTGACGACTTCTTGATGTTTCTTGTTGATTGATTGATGGATTGATGTACCATATTATTATACCAGCGAGATGATTGGATTTTTATCCGACACACGCACCCACACCCCCCACACCCCCCACACACCCCCCGACAACCCTTACGTTATGGAGTCGGACTGGAGCGAGGAGTTGGCGATTTGCTTTTGCTTTGCTAGCTTTATTCGATGCTAGGGTTGGATTTTTGTTTTGTCTTGTTTTGTCTTGTTCAGATGATACCATGTATCGATAGTTGGATGCGATGCATATAGTGCAATCAATAGATGTATCTCCTTTATTTACTACACCAAAAGATAAGATTTCTCAGATAGAGATATAGTTTGGAGCTACCATATTATCTATTAATCATTAATCTAAGGCATAGTGTAGATTATAATACGGTTATAGTTATAGTAATCTTAGTCTCAAGTCTAAGTCTAGCTTACCAAGTTCTGTTAAACCATGGATAGATATCACGTGGCTGGCGTATTCCAACATCTTAACTAGTACTCCCGTTACACTTCCATCTCCATTCAAACTACATAAAATACCATCTATCTATCTTTCTATCTATCACCACCTTTATAATATATCAATAATTCATACCCACAATCTGTTCACTCCTAAAAGAGATAATACTATACTATATCAATAATGACAGGATACACAACCACCCGTCCTACAAAATCCCTCCTCATTCCTAAGAAACGTCCCCTTAAGACCCCATCCACGACACTATCCAAGAACTATTCTACAGAGAAATACATCCCAACTTTGCATTTCATATCGTCATCTTCATCTTCATCTTCATCTACAGAACAAAACCCTAAACCCAAATCCACGAATGATGGGAAAAAAGCTGCTACAACAACAACAGAGTTCAATTTCTCTCTCCCGCCGCAGCCATTTCTTGACCCGGGGTGCTGGGAGAAGATTCGTTCAGTATCTTCTTCTTCTCCTTCTTCTTCGAGGTTAGGTGGTGAGAGTGGAAGTGGAAGTGGGAGTGGGGGTGTCATGCAGTTAAATGAGAGGGAGAAAGAGGAAGAGAGAAGACGGAGGAGGGCGAGGGAGGCGGAGTATGGGGGGATGGCTGTTCGGGGAAGACTTAAATGATTTTCTTATCCTTTTCTTTCTTTCTAATCGTTCTCTTTATGTTTTGGTTGTGGATCGGTTTACTATAGTGTATGGAGTTGCCGGTACTTTATACTGTGAATGTACTAGTATAGTATGTATGATAGTTCTTATTGATTCAGGTAGATACGATCGGTGGCATCGTGTATGTAGTTGCATAAATCATCAGTAAGGTGTGGTATGGTATCTTCATCATCATGGATGGACTGGGACCATCCAGTTTTCAAATCAAGAGCAAAACAATCCAAAACGAAACAATAGCAGACAGTACAAAATGCATGACTAATTCCAAACATATGCCAATTTCATCATCATATCGTCGTTGACGCCGTCATTCGTTGCATAGCATATAGCACATTCTAAATAACGATAAAGAGAGACATCACGGTCATTCAATCTCTGCTGATAGCATCATTCTGGTATTTTCAGCTGCGTGCTCGACTCCATCAGGACCGCACCGCCGATACTTTGCTTGAGTTTTTCGCGTTTGGCTTCCCGACGGTGTTCGGCGTGTCGCTGCCATGTGCGTCGCACGCGTTTGCGGATGTTGCGGACCTTATTCGTTCGGAAGCGAAGCCGCCACCATGACAGGGATCGGAACCGCTGGTGGTGGAGCGATGTCTGTGAGCAGAACGCCTCGGGGCTGAAGACTTGGCTTCCTACGAGCGTGCTGCGGTTGGCGAGGTGTCGACTGGCTTGTTCGGGCCGCCGTCTGGCAACTGGGCTGCGAAGCGCAGGACCCTCAAACGCAACGCGCTGCTGTGGCATGCCTAACGAGTTCTTGATCACTAGGTCCGACGCCTCGGGGTTTGCAACGGGCGAGTAAGGAGCCTCGCGAGGCGACTCCTCCTCTGGTTCCGAGTCTTCCCAGAACCGACGAGGCCGCCAGAAAGGCTGCTGTCGCCCATCAATGTCCTTGCCGGCCTTGCGGTTCTTCACCGACGTTAGTGACAATGAGCGGACGAATGAATTGAAAGAGTCAGACCGAGGACGTACCAGCCACGGACGGCGGCCCGGGCCAAACCGACGGCCCCGGAGCTTACTAGGCTCGTTGGTGTAACCTGCCCCGCCCGGCTGACGGTCGCCGTCTGGCACGGGCGTCGGGGGCACGACCTGGCAAATGGGCGGCTTTGGCGGCTGGCGGGGGTTTTTAAGAGGGGATGTCATCTCGTAGCGTTGAGTGGGAGATTCTTCCATTCGGTGTTGGTACAGTTCAGGGTAGTCGGGTTGCCCTCGTTGTGTAGTCTGAGCCTGCGGGTCGACCAGGAGCAGTGATTCATTGTTGTGCGGGAAGAAGACGACGGTCCTCGCCTCACTGACTTCGATCAGGCCGGGCGAAGATGAAGGGATCGAAATTTGGGTGTATGGCATTGATGGTGGGCGCAGATGCGACATATCCTCCACTCCGATGATGATGGACTGCGTCTTGGATGCTTCCACAGCATCATGTGTCTCGCGGGTTGCGGTCTCTGCTTTAGCTAGACGTGGCTGCTCAGCAACACGATCATGAGTTCCATGTTCCGTAGTCATTGCATGGTCTCGCAGGCTCTCCGATGTCAAAGATGTAGTCCGTGAGTTATTTCGACTGGTTGGTGCAGAGAGCGAGGAGCTGCGGGTCGGGATACTCGGTCGGCCAGAGTGGCGACCACGAGATTCCACCCGCCTCGAGCTGCTTGCAGTCGTGTCGGACGTGCGCTTCTGACGAGGAGGCTCGCGAGAGCCAGGCCGGCTACCCGATGTGGACGGGCCTTGTCGACTGGAGTGGCGCGAGCGGCTTTGCGAGGTATTTCTGCTGGTCGAAGTGGACGACTTGAGAGAGGAGGTTCGTTCCGGGATCACAACCACCGGCACCACATCCACGGTTTGCTGCTGGGTGTTCACACTGGAGGCTCCAGAGAACGAGATTTCCGACGCGATGCTCTTGCGGTCGCTCTCGGTGATCCGACCAGCTTTGTGCACTAGGCGATGTTGCGAGTCCGCGCTGGAAGCGGTTGATGCATGTTCTGGGCTGGGGAAAGGGGAACTAGCCGAACGCAGCGAGCCTCTTTTATCGGTATGACGCAGGGATCTTCGAGTGGACCTTGGAGCGTCGATGATCATTACCTCGACAGTGGACGAAGACATGGACACGTCTGACAGCCGGCGAGCGTCGTCGTGCTCCGCAGAGTGAGGCTGGTCCTCCGCACGTGGCCAGCCAATCTCTTCGCGAAACTGTTCAATGGACAAGCCACCCACTGGTTCCTGCGCATCCCGGACAGACTCCCGTAGATTCGAGGGTGCTGGGGAAACTTTGTACTGTGTCTCCCAACCATTCATATCGTATCCATTTTCTGCGTCCGCAGTACGGACCTTGGGAACCCCATTTCTCGTAGACTTCTTCCTGCGCGGCGGCGACACCTTCAATTCTGCATCATCGTCCATCTTTCGCTGCGCATGGGTCTCCATCATGGACGGTCGGAGGCGTTGAGTACGAGGATCAGGAACCGGTGTCGACTCTCCACTCCCTCGGTCATCATAGTCCGCCGGCTCGTCCCTCAACGACCTCTGTCTGGTAGGCAACAACGACTGCGTAGACTGACGAGGAGTTTCCGTCTCTGCGTCCGAGATCATTTCATAGGCTGTCCGAAACGACTCGGCGTGCGATGAGGAGGAAGAAGACAGTCCAAAATGCGACAGTCCCGGACGCGGGGCGGAAGGAGCGACACGCGGGGGAGTAGTTTCAGGCGTGGGTGGATGGGACGGCTTGGAGGTCACCGCCCCGTTCACGGAGTAGGATGAAGTAGCTTTTGGCGTGCTTGTTCCGCTGCTCATGAGGTCTTCGCTCTGAGCAACTCCAGGCGGCGTTAAAGGACGGACGGGAGCGGCTGCCAACGGGGTGGCATTTGAAGGGCGGCCATGCTGAGGTTGAGGCGTTGCCTCGATGGCTGGAGGGCTCCAGAGGACATTTGGCCTTCGTCGTAGAGACTTGTGGGCCCTCAACTGGGGCGGGTCCAGGTGTCCTGGTGAGGCGAGAGACGTGTTCACGACTTCCAGGCCGGGCATGGTGAGATGGCCCAACTGTCTGGGATGCCCAATTGGCGGACCCGACGGTCGCGGCAATCCGGACTGATATTTGTCACAAGCGATCAAAGTGGGTGATTGGCAGGAGAAGCATGACACTTGAGTTGGTTCAATGGAGATTGGTCCCAGCTAATAGCTGACGACGTCGCATCGCCTGCTCACCGCGGCAGTTCGGAGTGTGAGGTTGAGTTTCAAACAAGAAGATAACGTTTACTACAATGGATAAGAAACCCCCAAAAGAGGTGACCGTTTTGGACAACGGCTACCTTGTACACATTCACTGGATCTTTATCTTTTCTTTTCTTTTTCTTTCCTAGCAACCCTGGACAAAGTTTGTTGTAAAAGCGACTGAGCGGCGGCCAGCAAGGGAGGGAAGTGGATGGACAGCGCAAGGGGAGGAACACGGTAAACTAACGACTTAATGCCCACCCCAGCGCGTCTTACAAACCAGACCGATGCCAATTCTTCCGGTCAGCAGCGATTATGCTCCTCCAGGGGCATCGACGATTCCAAAAATAGAGAATATGGTTAAGAATTGGGGCCAGGCAAGGCGTGACACGCAGGAGGAAACCCCGTTGGCACAGAAAAGGTCCGAGGAGCGCGACGACGAGGCAAGACAAATGAGTCGCAAAGACATTCCACGTTGCGGATCCAGCGCGCGGTGCACTCAGCGGACCGCCCCAGGTCAATCCGGGATAATGACCGCGATTAAAGTCGTGGGTCGGCTTGGCAAACTACATGGAGGAAAGCAGAGGGGGAAGGATGAGGCCCAAGTATGGCAGGGCTGGCTAATTGATGGTCTGGAGAAGCGCGACCGAATGGAAGTGGGAGAGATGATGAGGGGGAATGGATGGAGGGATTGATTTGTTCGGAGAATCGGCGACGATCCAGTGACTCGCCCTGCAGTTGTCACGGGATGCTCCGAATGCTATAGGCTCACACTACTATAAGACGGGATTACTACAATGCCATATAGAGGAACGGGAAGTACCCGAGGCATCAAGGTTATTGCTACACAGTACACCAGACGATGCGGTGTCGACACGGTTTAAGTAACTTCTCCCAAGTATATATCAACACCGCCGGTTACTGTAGGTTCCTGATCGCGTTGAACAAGGAATTGCATCATCGATGACACGAGTCCCCCTGCAACGTTGGCAGAAATCTCGGGAGTGGCGTGTGTAATCCATGGTCGACCACAGCTGAACCATCCCCCAGACCGGGAACACAGTAGCCAAAGGACCCGCGATTGTTGTTTGCCGGCGCTGGATCGGATCCGACTTTTACTGAGAAGCGGAATGGGTAGGCGAGCAGAGCAGCCACTTAAGTAGGCACGGGATGGCCCCCCAAAACGAGGGATTAAACTGCGCATATGATGACATGACGACCAGTGTGTGAGAAGAGTCTGACGATAACCCGAACCAGAATAAAGAGCTAGACCCAGATCTTCGTTGAATAATCAGGACAGAGCTTGTATCTCGCGTTAATCTAATCTACTACGTACTAATGTCATTTCCGATTTGAAATCAGTCATGGGGACGATTTGAAGAAGCCATGACGGGATATGACGCAGTGTGAGATGGTCAGTGAGCAGCCACCAAATGGAAGAGAAATTCGGGAGTATTGAAGCGAGATTAAGTATGGGGTTAGTTAGTGGCAGCAATAATAGATGATGATGAAGGCGAACAGGCGATGATGCCGAAAGACGAACTGACAGAGAGTAGAGAAAGAAATGACAATCGGCACGCGAGGCTGGCTGAGTCATCACCCACGGAAGGAACCAGACTAACCTGAACCGGCAAGTCAGCCTAGGCGAAGATCCCCTTCGACGTCATGGCTGCTTGCAATTCCACCTCCGCTGGCCGATGACGCTCCAACCCGTTCATTCGATTTCCCTCTTTTCTTTTTTGGATTGAGAATTATTTTATTTTATTTGATCTTACGCTTCCTCATGCATCGGCATGTGTTCTTGAAATTATAATCTTAATAGCCTCTCATCCGTCTTCGTCCGCCATAACTTTTTTCTGATTCCTGCCACGGTGCTCCCTCACGTTGTGCTGCCTGCAGTCTGTCCAGCTGCCCTCATCCATCCATCATCCATCCTCCATCGATCTGCCCATCGGCCAGCATTTCCCCACCATCCCGTCCTCTCGCTTTCTCTCCGTCTCCATTTCAGCTGAAAGAGAAAGGGAAAGAAGATTAAATTTAAATTAATTTACTCTACGACGATAATTTTGTGACTGGTGTCCCGTCCATTCTCCAATCCTTCTCATCCATAATTTCGACTGTGGTTCTTTACTGGGGGGTGTCTTCTTTGACTGTGCAGCAAGCAGCAGTGATCTCACTTACAGGTAATAAAATACTCATCCCAAAAATACCCTCCCCTCTCCTCTTTGCTCCTCCCACCCCTTCTTGTGTGTGTGTCCATTTTCTTTGTTCGGTCCTGCCACCTTGTAATTTAATTTGACAAATCCCGATCGATCATCTTCCCGAAACGTCATCGTCTTGTCTCTCTGAAGTTATTCTGGCATTACCCACGCACATCTTTCCTTAAGTGACTGTATTTCCCAACTGACACTAACGGACAATTACAGTTTAGGCCTTGGCGGGGTAATAAAAGCACCAGCAGCTAAATCCATTAGACACAGTTTAACCCAAAAAAGAACAAAAACGAAAAAAACAGAGACACAGAGAATCTTGGTTCCTTCCCAATCACATTTCATCATCTGGCTTTCATTTCTTCTTCCTCGTCCTACGCCTGACTCCTACTATTTCCTACTACTACTTACTGTCTGGCCTCTTTTCTTCCCTCCCTTTCTCCTCCCCCCTACTACTTACTTCTCTTCACTTTCCTTTTTCCTCATTCCCTGTTCCTTTCTTGCCCTTTTTTCCCATTGTAATCCCCCACTTCCCCTTCCCTCCCTCCCTTCCCCCCCTTACTCAGCACACACACTATGAGTACCATACAAAGTCTCAAGAATTTCATACGTCATGGCAAACAAGCCCGCCTGGTGACGCCGCATGCCGAACCCACCACCAATGTCTCTCCCATTCATGCCGAACAACAACGTCAACCCCAGGGCTCCTACCCCCCCGCTGCTGGCAACCTGGATGCCATTGACAGCAAAATGGGCAACGGCCAGGCTCAGCCGTCCCAGAAGAATTCCGACCAGACCCGCCGCGCGCGCGAGGCCGAACTCGAGCAGATTATCGCAGAGGAAAAGAGCAGTCGCAACAAAATGCCCCGATACCCCGGCCTCGAACGTTATACCCTCGTCGAGAAGATGGGCGATGGCGCTTTCAGTAACGTCTATCGCGCCAGGGATAGCACCGGCGAGTATGGCGATGTGGCCATCAAAGTCGTCCGGAAGTTTGAAATGAATAGTAATCAGGTAGGAACTGCAACCACACACTCGTTTCCCTTGGTTGTGTCATGGTTTATATGCGCATTCTGGTCATTCCTCTTTATGCTGCTCTCTGTGTTTTCTGATTTGCTGGTTTGCCTTGTTTCCTCTTGACATCTTTCTTTTTCTCTTTTGATTCATTTCGCCAATCTCTTGTCAATAGTCATCCGCCCATCTACATCCCGGGTTGAAGAAGAAACCCAAAGCTACAGAGGTGCGCAATCCCTCTGGGATGATCTATCATGAGTCACCCATCCAAGTCGCATGGGTCGCCTGATACCCTGCCCTTGCAATGTCTTCTTTTCGCCTCCCCTTGCTACCAATGACTCCAAAAGTGTTCGCTCGAGCTAATGACTCATTTGTTTGTTAGCGTGCCAATATCCTGAAAGAAGTCCAGATTATGCGCCAGCTAGATCACCCAAATATCGTCAAACTGGTCCAGTTTTCCGAGTCGCGCCAATATTACTACATCGTGCTGGAACTCTGCCCTGGTGGCGAATTGTTCCATCAGATCGTGCGATTGACCTACTTCAGCGAAGACCTTAGTCGCCACGTCATTCTTCAAGTTGCCAAGGCCATTGAGTATCTTCATGAGACATCCGGTGTCGTGCATCGGTAAGACCTAACTTCCTACGCGCTCTTGTCCGTACCTCTGGCTTTGCTGACTTTTGCGACAGTGACATCAAACCCGAAAACCTTCTCTTCTACCCCATCGACTTCATCCCGAGCAAAAACCCCAAACCTCGTCAACCTGGGGACGAGGACAAGGTCGATGAAGGCGAATTTATTCCCGGAAAAGGCGCCGGCGGCATTGGTGTGATTAAGATCGCCGATTTTGGTCTGTCCAAGGTCATCTGGGACAGCCAAACTATGACGCCCTGTGGAACCGTCGGCTACACCGCGCCCGAGATTGTCAAGGATGAGAGATACTCGAAGAGTGTTGATATGTGGGCCCTGGGCTGTGTTCTCTACACTCTCCTCTGTGGCTTCCCGCCTTTCTATGACGAGAGCATCCAAGTTCTCACCGAGAAGGTCGCGCGTGGCCAATATACTTTCCTGTCGCCGTGGTGGGATGATATCTCCAAGTCGGCGCAGGATTTGATCTCCCATCTGTTGACGGTTGATCCGGAGAAGCGGTACACGATCAAGCAATTTTTGGAGCACCCGTGGATTCGTCAGACCGACGAAGCAACTGAAGCAGCTGCAGATGCTCCGCCTCTGGCAACCCCGCTAACTACCCGCAAGACACAACAACTGGACGCCTTCGCGGCCGATCAAGCGCCCTATGCCCCGGCCAGCGCCCGTCTCATGGACCCAGCTTCTGCCGGTCTCGAGCGCCCCATGGACTTCCGCTCTCCTGGAGCGATCAATTTGCGCGAGGTCTTCGACGTGGGTTATGCTGTTCACCGGCAGGAAGAGGAAGGCAAGCGGCGCAAGAACTTCCGCCAAGGGTATCGTGGTGCGAACCCGTCTACAGCATTCCAGTCAGCGCTTAATCCGTTGAACGAAGACTACGACGAGGCTGAAGAGATTACCTACCAACCTCTTCCTCGGGATGATTTCCCTCCGGCTAAGATTCCCAAAGCCTCCCAGCAAGCCAGTGATGTAGCGGCTATGGAAGCAAAACTCCGATCGACGAACCTGGGAGCGCCCAGCCACGCCGCGCAAGCGCGCCAAGCGCACCAGCCTCGACAGCAGCAAGGATACGGCCAGCACAGCGCCAAGGTGGCAGCCGCTGCGAAGCAGAGCATTGCGCGGGGTGCGCGGGAGCCCTTCGAGCTGAGTCTCGACAACGCCACATTATTAGAAAAGAGAGGTCGACGACAACAGGGCCAGGTTGCTTAAGCCTCTCTCTTTCCCAAACCATCTCTCTCCATCTCCCAAGATCCACAACACTACCTGACGACTCGAGAGCCACAGGCTACGAACTCCCCTTGCTTATGAGTTTCTTGATCTGATGACCTAACCCTTATTCCCCCTTCCCCTTATTCGAACGTTGGACAGGATCCCGGGTGGCTACACACGAACTCGATCGGTCGCATTTATTCTGGGTGTTTCTTTTATCGTTGCTACTTTCTTCTTCTCTTACCTCTTCCTTTCATGGCTGGTAATCCTTTTTTTTTTCTTTCTTTTATATCTACTCATGTTTTAGCTGTATTCGGGTTCTGGGCACAGCATATGGTATGGTCCCTTTTCTTCACATTTGTACTGATTGTTTCTGGGCTGTTTTGTTCGATGAATGTCATTACGCGCGTGCCATTTCCTCCGGGGCTATACATTTACATGCTTTGATGCTTCAGATGCACATACACACACATTTGCGAAAGGAGCACATTCGTGGCATGGATTTTTCACGATGCGTGGTGGGCTATATCTATGGATATCACTGTAACTGCTTCTTTTCCTCCTCGGGGTAGTCCGGCGTATGTACGTTTTGCTCTCTTTCTTTCGTAACTAAAAGCGAATCCTGGTCCATCTATGTTAGTATCTCTAGATGACCGAAACGGATGAACATGATCATAGTTCATGTCTGTAGAATTATGCCTTGAGCCTAATTGGTGCATTCCGCGTAGCTCTTTTACACAAGTATAGTAGTGCATACTTACTGCCTTGGAAGACTCTCCGAAGAACCCAGGTGTCTGCATGTATATTCATACAGACTTATATTTATGCCCTAGATAATACAACTTATTCCATACTAATCCCATCTATAACAGTGCTCAAAGTAATTCTCATGGTTTCCAAATTTGCAATAAGTAGTAGTAGTAGTAATAGTATAGTAGTTTTGAATAGTAATGATAGTATGATTAGCAGTATAAGTAGTCGTAGTAGTAGGGAGCACTAGTAGCAACACATCTGAATCTAATATTACCACTCTTGTAACCCACCCACTCATCGGGTATATATCCCCCATCCGTAATTACCATCTATCTAATCAAGACTCTATGTATATGTATGTAGTATTGGAGCTTCTTGCCTCTATTCTGAACTAACTAGCAAGTATCTGTCTATCTATCTATGTATGTATTCCCTTACTCAGGACTTGTATTACCGATTGAGGAGAGGAAAAGGACATTAGTTTATCTAGTTGATATGTTGTCTATGGACGTAGTATATAATATATAGTATGTAGTATGAGGAATGAGCGTGATGATGAGAGTGAGTATGAGTGGTCGGGGACGAAGCTTAGTAGTTTAGTACTATTGATAACTGCTTGAAGTGTGTGCTACGCTGAATGAGGATGGCTATACTGTGTAGGAGTGTTCCTTATGGTTGATTAAGGAATTTGAAGGAATACAAGATCACTATAAGCATGTAATTAATAATGAAATTCATGTGCATTTTCATTTCACTTCCTATGCTATCGTACTCCTTTTTGTTTTTGCTTCTTTTAATCCTATAAACGGCTAACCAAAAGAAAAACGTCATGCATCCACGTCATACAACATAAGTAATATCAACACACGAAGAGTAGTATAACCGAACAAGTCAGTAGACGGAACTAATCAATCGAGCGGGCATGTATACATATATTCCACCAGGCACTATGTGCAATCCCGTCGTCCATGCAAGCCATTCAAAACATGGGTATCATGCATCATTCCAATATGCTCGCTTACCCAAGAAGTTGAGACATGAGCGTATAAACATAACCAGCCGTAATGGTGAAAATAATAATGAAAAGAGTATATGAATATGTGCCTCCCTTTTTCCTCTTTTGTTCTGTTATCATTTACAGCGTCTGCTTTCCCCGGGTTTCAATAGGGAGAAGACACATGGCCACGAATGCGGCCAGGATAAGTCCACCAGATGCGTAGATAGGAGCATCTGGGTTGGAACTTCCGCCGTAGATGGCCACGAGAGGCGCGCACAGTCCCGCAATACGGTTTAGGCAGCTGGAAATGCCAGTGGCCGTGCCACGGTTCGGAGCCGGGAAGACCTCGGGAGTGTAGGCGTACAAGACGCCGTACATGATGTTCTGGAAGAAAGCCTCGAGGCAGGAGCAAAGCAGTTGGATGTTGGAGTTGGTCGAGGCCGTGAAGCAGAAGAGCAGCACTCCGGTAATCAAAGTGGAGATAACCATCGTACCCTTACGGCCAACATACTTGATCTCAACAGTGTAGCACGCCAGGATCGACCCAGGGACACCGACGATCGAAGTGATGGCATAGTTTCGGTAGGCAATGTAAGTAGAGCTGGAGCTCGAGCCACCTGCACGCTCGAGGTACTGGGGAAGGAAGGCATTGAACAAGGGATATCCCATTCCAATCGTGGCCCAGCAGAACCAGAGGAGAACGGCTGAAAAGTTGACTAGTTAGTCTAGGTTAAGGAAAATGGAGTGTTGTGTTGAACACATACTGGAGAAACCAAGCTTTTTGGAGGAAAAGAGGGGTCCAATGCGCTCCAAGGAAAATTTGGACAGATTCCTCCGCACGATTTCAGCAAAGCTGAGCTTTTCATCTGCCACCTCCTCAGGATAACCACCAATTTCGTTGAGGATTTCCTCAGTCAGCCACGTCTTGGTTCGGTTCTTGTGGGCAATGCCGTGAACGGAAGCAACAGCATCGCTCTGACGGCCACGTGCAAGCAAATACTTGGGCGACTCGTATAGATGGAAGAGGAAGAAGCGGCAAATGAACATGACGAAAGTAAGGGCACCCAGCGTGAAGCACAAGTAGCGCCACCCCATGTTGCTTTGCTTAGTGCAGCACGCCTCTCCGCTAGCAACGTTACCACAAGCAGGCAGATCGCTGCTGCAGCTGTAGTTCGGAATGAACGCCCATGCGAGTAGACTAATTGATTACTCGTTAGCCACAGACTCAAGACGCTAGATGAGGATGACATACCTGGAGACTAATTGGCCAAGAGGCCACCAGACACTCAGCATTGTCAGAAGGTTTCCCGAGGCAAAAGGGAGGAACTCCAAAAACAGAGCCCCATCGACAGGCAGGTTACCGCCTACACCAAGACCCAAGCAAGCATATAGGGCACAGGCTCTAGCATGTGACATTAGCAAGCGTCGACTTCGCATACTACCAAGGGAACGCACCCGATCCAAGTTGGGGCACCACCGGCGGCGATGCCAAAAACACCGCAAATGAATAGCGTCATGTTAAAAGCCGGGCGACGGCCGATGATATCGGACGCAACACCCCAAAACGATGCACCAATGCAAAGACCCAAGAACAAGGAGCATGTTGTGAATCGGACCCATGTAGTAGAAACCCCAAACTCCGAGGCAATCGGGGTTAGTGTCAATGCAACACCCTTTTAGCGGTTAGTAAAACAGCCATCAGAGACAATATCTTCGCCTAAATCAAATGTATCTATCTCACCTGCAACCAGAGACTGGAGTAGACCAACGTTAGCTGATATATAAGTAATGCGCACGAGGGAACCACTTACTTGTCTGCTAGCCAACCAAAACCACAGAGCGCAAAAAGTTGCCACTGATAACGGCCCATGCCAATATCCTGGATTGCTCTATTGATGAGTTTTGCCTTGCCTATATAGAAAACCACAATCAGATCTCGGACTTTCGAAGGTGCCCAGGCACAAGGCTAATCATTCTTTGGAAGTTTCAAGAAAGCAAGGAAGCAGAGCAGGGGAAAAGGACAGTAGCCGCTCCATGGAGCAACATCAGAACATACGGTCATACGCAGTGTCTTTGCCTGATGTCGCAACATCCGCCTCAACTTCAGCGCGAAGGGCCTCGATGGTCAGGGTGTTGTAATTGTGGACAGACCCTACGCCGGCTTCCGAGGAGGGAGCCCTATCCAAGCTCCTATTGTCAGTCTTCTCATCAGGGCGGTCGGTTTTTTCTAGTTCAGGGTTCGGCTTGTGATGCGGAGGGGCTTCGGACAGGGGAACCACGACCCCAGGGAAGTCGTGGTCATTTTTCCGGAAAGGGTTGACTCCGAAAGGCATGGTTGTTGGACTATAGTGACGATGTCGCATGCGAGGGCAACTTTCGATATGGGCTGTGGCACCGGGGGCAAATTGGGGGAATAGGATCGATGGTCTGCTTTGGCGGGCTTCAAGGTGAGTCGAACTACTTGTCGCTATGGTCTGCAAGGGTATTTCTCTATCGATATCCGGGATGCTCAGAAAGCTAGGGGCCACCGATGGCTTCGCAATTGTCGCTAGGGTCAGATACAGTAGGCGCAATGGCTGTATAACCGTAACAGGTTGGTGCTAGGGACAGGCCGAACAGGAACCGATACTCGGGGGCCGAATAAAAGGTGCTCAGGGATTTCAGTGGCCGGATATTCGTGGGTCTTATGTCGAGGCTATTGAGCGCACGTCGTACAGCTGAAATCGAGCAGACGTTTTCGCCTTTGCTGGAGCAGGTTTGAAATATATGCAAAAGGAGCCAATGGTATATAAAGTAATGCCAGGGGTAAAAAAGCTAGGGACGCTGAGAACTGCAGCTCAGTCGATCTATAGACGACAGGGACGGAGAATGAAGAGGTATAAGAGGGCAAGGAACAGTGATGGTTCCGACTGACAGGTCGAATGGATCGAACCTTCTTCCCAGGGCGATGAGATGGCGCACGGAGTAGAGGATCAATCAATTGCACTCGCTGTCGTCTTCAAGCCGACTTTTTTTAAAGATTGCAACGGTAGAGGAGGGAAAGAGATGCGGGGAGGGGGTGGGTAGTATATGAGGTGGTAGAGAAGAGTGAGGGTAAGCACAGGAAAGAACCAAAATTTGGGGGATGAGGTGAGGGAAGCTGAGGTCTATATACGCATCCAGCTTTGGACTGGAAGCTAACATGAAAAAGAAAAAAAAAGACTGCATCGCAGAAATTCCCATCGCAAATCACTGTTTCTTCCCTCTTTCCTATTTTTCTTTTTTACTTTTTCTGTCTGCTGCTACGACACATGGGGTGGTATGGGTCCGTCCCTGTAAATTAAATTAGTGCTTTTTGCAAACGCCGGGAAGTGGCAAGTGCCCACGACTTAGTCTCCTAGAAGAGATGTAATGCAACTGGTCGGCAAAACTCTGCTCAATACCTTGGCAGCTGTAAAATTAATGCATATTTTCTCTTCACCCCTCCTCCGAGTATATCGAAATGCTGGCATAAAATTATCTTCGGCGGGGCGTAGATAGGCTTTCGCATGACTCTCAATATGCAAATACCGTGATACGCGTACTGATCCCGTACGGCCCCCCATACTTTGGCCGGACTCGGGCTAGCGCGGGGCGATGGAACCACACCGGCCGAAACCGAAGTCCAATCTCAACAATGCTGATTGGACCGTCTATACCTTGGTAGGGCGTCTTGGCATTGACGGCGGACGCCATGGCCCTTGGCAAATGCAGACTGCAGCGATACCCCGGCGACAATCGACTTGACGATTGGAGCATCGTCTTACCAAAAGAGATGATATGATAGGGAATATGTAGGGCTTATCTTTCGAAGAACTAATAGAGATAGGAGTACTCGATTGCCACAAAGAAGAGCGGAAAAAAGGATGTTTTGAGGCGGCAATCCCATAGCTCTGACTTCTCGGTATGCAATAAATGCTGCACAGCACATTTTTTCTCTTCACCACCGGGAAAGGGTGCACTAGGAGAGCCACTTTCACCTTAACCCACTTCTCGGCGGTTGCCAGCAACGTTGACTGGATGCTAGAGTCGAGGATTCCTCGGGAGGTGCCAGATCTTCCGAGCAATAAGACAGCTCGGCTGGCATTCATCTCCGCAACGTGCGTTGGTTCATCCCAACGCAAGGGAGGCTCTCCATGGTGCCGGCCGAGGCGCATGGTCAGAATTTGGGGTAATGATGCCATCCGAAGAAGCTTAACGCGGCGTCATCAGTAAACATGTCCTTCGAACGGCTCAGGACTGTGTGTACACAAAGAACAAGTCTTTCCGGCACTAGAATATCCTCACATGAGCACGAACGACTCGGTCCACGTGCCAGATTTGCCCGATATTCTTCTACGTCATCGCCATACTTCTGTATTACGCTAATCCCAACTGGGACTAGTCAAGGTTACCTGACAACATCGGTACCGGGCAGAGAGACCTTACAATTTAGGATGCCATGGCCACTAAGGCACTCCGTTGGCGCAGTTGGAAACCTGATTTGGTATGTGAGAATCCGCCTTCCTAGTATCCCATAATTCGAAACTACTAGGGACTGGTGGACTTCGTCGTACCATAAGGATAGAGGCCTGAAGTTCATGTTCAACAGACACGAGTATCTTTACATCCGATCTGCACTGTGAAGATGGTAACCGTAAGCCACGAGCGCAGCCGCACCTGAAAACTTACCCGTCCAGCACGCATGTAGGAACGTACTAGGAGTCGCCGACGCGAGACACCATGATGAAGTAGGTTTAGAGTCCCAAGACGACAGGCCTTTCCCAGACGGGAATGGCACGGCAGAGGCCTGAGCCTGAGGTCGCCAGTCCAATCCCAGCAGGGATCATCGTTACACTGGTCCGTCACCACTTCCGCAACCGTTTCTCAGATAGTACCCGTTTCCCTGGTCGTCCAATCATCACCCAGCAAGCAAGTCCTAATTTCCTACAGACGGGCACCCCTAATGGGGCCACGGGCCACCAATGGCTTTGGCTCAGAGGCAGAGTGATTGTAATACTACTAAGTAAGTACTTGTAGTCATGCAATGGCTCCCTAATTTACCTACCGGGCCAACCACAGGGAGTTCCCTCTCAATAAAACGGTGACCTGCTAAATGGGGGCCAAGACCAGCATGTCGTGAAATACAACCTACGGCTGTCCACTTACAAGCGATTTCTCTGCCGTCAAAGCCCGCTCACTATTGCCCTTTTAGTCATGGTCAGTTTTCGGGCCATCATGTTTTCCGCGGGAAGGTACGCCGGTGGTACGCTCGTGCCATAAGCTGGAGGACTAGAGAGAGGCCGTAGGCCAAATTCATGCTTATGCTTCAGTCTTGGTTGCCTCATTTCATGGCTGGGCTGGACCATGAAATCATATCGACTGCACCAGGATATCCACTAAAAAGATAGCCGCCGAGATCGAACCCCTCATTTCCCTCCATCTCCGGCTGATGAATGTATCTCCAACACACACGGCGGCGACAGACGATGGCTTGAGCACTGCGTTCGACATAACAAGACGGGAAAGTTTCCAAACTAAGCGGACTGCAGACGAGTTGAGTCGCTAATGAAGATCCAGTTCGTAGAGATCTCATGTATCAGTAGCTTATGGAAAGACTATCAAAATGCGGAGACGGTGTCGGGACAGTTTTTCTCTATCGGGACACATTATCCAGCTTCATATCGAAATCTCTCGGCGCCACTTCCAACGCAATCCGGAAGGAGGCGAGCGAAGACGTGCTCTTCGAATGGTTGTTCGTGGACTTATCCCCTCCGCTTCTTCACTCGGACGCAAAACGTTGGAACTCCCGTGAGCCATTTCTCTGAAGACTAGTGTTCTGTCACAAGTTTTAGCGAACTTGGAGCAATCAGCTACTGATCAGAACAATGCCCCCCGAGCAGCTGCACGTTCTCCGCAGAGCCATGAGCTTCTGGACTTAAGGTGAATTAGTTGACGTCAGTCGAACACTAGCTGGGTTTTGGAGCATGAGAGTACATTATCTCATCTTGTCACAAAGGATGGCATGTCCGCAGTCGTTTTGGCCAGCTCCAACTTCGGGGTAAACGCTCCCCCTAGCCGACTGGTGTTGTAGTTGGGGAGACAGATGGAGGAGGTAATCAATGGCCTTCGGAACCGGAGAATGTATAGCCCCGGCGGCCAGCGACACGTGATCGGTGACCGAGCATCGAGGGGCTGCGCAGTGCGCGCCTGAGCCTTTGGTGCGCGCTCCGTTTAAGGCCAATATGCCAAAACAATACTCCGCATCATAACTCTGATCACCTCCTGGCTATGTACTGCGCCACATGCCAATGTGGGGGGTAGACATCACTTATTTTGAATTTCTCTGTCTCTCTGGCAATCTTTCAGGTCCTCGTCCGGCACCAGAGTCGCTCGTGTCGGTTCTCACAGTTCATACACCACCACCATGACCAAGATCTTGACCTCCAGCCAAGCTGAGGAACTGTGAGTATATTTATGCCATGGCCTGCCGTACCTTGCTTGCGCGCTTATACGCAACCCAGGCATAAGTCGATAATCGCATACCTTTCATCAATAAATGCCTCGCGGAGTTGTGAAGTGCTGCGGGAGGAACTCCAAGTGGACAGTAGTTTCGATGATGCGCTGTGCCGGAAATATGAGGGGCTATTAGAGAAGAAATGGACCGGAATTGCTCGGCTGCAGAAAAAGGTAGGTACACGTGCTTGACAGGGTTGGTCGCTTGGAGTTGTTTCTTCTTTCTTCGTCGCTGGAGAGCTCGGTAACTAATCACTGGGTAGATCTTGGACTTAGAATCTAAACTCGCTGGCCTCCAAACCGAGCTTGACACTATATCACCTACAGCCCGTTCCACCGGGAAAGATCCGATAAACTGGCTTCCCACTTCTTCCCGACATACTTTCGAATCGCACCGAGATGCTGTCACTTGCGTCGCATTCCATCCTGTCTTCACCTCTCTCGCCTCCGGTTCCGAGGACTGCACAATCAAAATATGGGATTGGGAACTCGGCGAACTAGAGCGGACACTCAAGGGTCACATGAGGCCGGTCTCCGATCTCGATTTTGGCGGTCAGAAGGGACATACCATACTAGCATCGTGTTCGAGTGATCTCCAGATCAAACTGTGGGATCCGAATAAGGACTATGCCAATGTTCGGACACTTTCTGGGCACGACCATTCAGTTTCGGCTGTGCGCTTTTTGCGACAGACAGATAACATCCTTATCTCGGCCAGTCGGGATGCGACGATCCGGATATGGGATGTGTCGACCGGATACTGTGTTAAGGTGATCGACTCGCAGGGCTCCTGGATCAACGACGTGTCTCCTTCCTTCGATGGAAAGTGGTTGGTGACGGGAGGCCGTGATCAAGCCGCGATGGTTTGGGAAGTCGCATCAGCCAAATCGGTTGCGTCATTAATAGGTCACGAGAATTTCATCGAGTGTTGCGTCTTTGCGCCTCCCTCAAGCTATAAGCACTTGGCTGCTATTGCGGGACTAAAGACAGCACCACCTGCGAGTAGCTCCTCCGAATTTATTGCGACGGGAGCCCGTGACAAGACTATCAAGCTCTGGGAATCCCGGGGCCGCCTGATCAAGACATTAGTTGGACACGACAACTGGGTACGAGGCCTATTGTTCCATCCTGGCGGAAAGTACTTAATCAGTGTTGCGGACGACAAAACAATACGTTGCTGGGATCTGTCTCAAGGGGGAAGATTGGTGAAGACGATCAACGCCCACGGGCATTTTGTTAGTTGCATTCGTTGGGGCCCAGTACCTGTGAGCGATGTTCCAGTGGAGACTTCTGAATCGACTAAAAGTTCCAAGACGGACTCTGTCAAGCCTGGGTTTCAATGCGTCATTGCAACAGGGAGCGCCGATTCAAGTGTACGGATTTTCACGTAGTTTCAGAGGTAAATGATTGCATATATCCTAACCTTTTCAAAGACTAATACCAATACGAAGACTCAGATCATGAAGCTCCCTCCTCCCATCCGCAAGACACATACACACATCCATGTAAATGCAATCCCAGGAGAAACAAACAAGGCCCGACATTCCGAGATGAGGTCGAGGTCGATGTCTCCAGCCGCAGATGCCTTTTTTTTCCTGTACACAAACAAACACACAAACACACTGCTGCTTATGACGGCCCCCGACCAGGAAGAATTGATTGATGAAATGATGAATGAGATTATGACTGAAGCTGAATCTGATGCACACACGTTGGTTGTCTAGAAATAACATGACGATGTCTGAAGTAGGAGAAGGAGAGAACAAGAGAGGGAACCTGTCACACACACACACACACACACACACACACACACACACACACGCACCACACGGTCATGTCTGGCAGCGCTTGCGAAGCAAAAAGCACAACGCAGTGCGACCTTATCCCACCACCACCCAGACAGAGATGGAGGCGAGCAATTTCTTCACGCATCGCATCATCCCTGTTTATTTTTCTATTTTTGCATACCCCCATCTATTGGGCAGGGCACCCACATCCCTTGCTGTATTTGACCTTTTTCCCCCTTCATCTTTCATTCGACTCAAGAGAGCTGGTTCCATCAAGGCGTCCGTCTCCCCTTACAGGAAGCATTTCGTGGAACGGAGTATTTCTCTTCGCAACAAAGGCGCACGGTCTAGACTACTTAGAGAGACTCTGCGGCTTTTCTGTTTGTTTGGCCATCATACTTACTACTATCTTGATTGTAAATAGCTTCTCCATCTAGCTAGCTTTAGTGCCAATGCTTATTTGCATACATAGATACATACATACATACATTATTGGCATGAAGGTGCATCTGATATACTACTCGTGTCCCCTTCCTGTGCTGTGGCATTAGTGGGAGATGCTGTGTGACTCCTGCCACTCACGCTCCCTCCCTCAGAGAATAAAGCTTCTTCAGATCATCTGTGTCAAACCTCATTTCTAGGACAAGGAACATTGAGTACGATGTATGACTGGACTGCAGCTTCACGATTGACTCGAGGCAGTAGTCGAGTAATATCATGAAAAGAAAGGGGAGAGCGAATTCCGCATCGGATTGGGTACATAATGTTTTCAAATCTGATCCTTTTCCAATCTTCTAGTTGAAAGGATAAGCAGGTCGGTACTCTACTGCTATTTCTTACTTATGAAAATGCCAGTTAAAGCTGCTCATGTACATTCATTCGCACAACGTATCTACAGATCATAACTTACGTCTTTAGTATCATCACAACATCATCCCTTATCTTAGCCTAACCCGCCTTACAGGGTATCCCGCCGACCAAGCAGCCACTCAAGGTGACGGTAGGACACTCTGGGTTGAAACTGAGGCTGCATGTGACCACTCTGGAAGGTCTCAGCCCACATAAGACCACGCTCATAGTGCTGGATACCCATAACGCCCTGACCACCTTGCGGGTCATAGCCGTTCTCAATAAACACTTCATTGTACATGAGGTCCGGGATATCGATGTTGATGGGGGTGCTCGGGGCAGTATCAAACCCAAGCTTTCCATTCCACGTCATGTTCTGGATGGAGAGAAGAGTGCCATTGGTGAGGATGACCATGTCATAGTCACCGTTACCAATCAAAACCCGGTTAGTGCCTTCGATGACCTGCGGCAAGACGTGCTCGATAGGGTTGGCTGAGAAATCGCCCTCCTGCTCGGGCCCGCCGTCACCTCCGACGAAGACGCTCTCCACGGAGCACTCGGACCAGGTGATGTTGGGAGCGTGCATGGCACGCTTGACGTCTGCGCGGTCGAAGTAGATGGTGGCCCCTGCGGGGAGGTAGTCGAGTTCGGTGGGGAAGCCGAGAACGTCCCAGAGGAGGGGGCACATTTCGTTGATTTCGTAGGGGTTGAAGCAGGGGTTGGGGTCTAGGACGGCGTCGTTGACGATATCGAATACATCGCAGGTGGGGTCGCTCCAGTTCATAGCCTTCGGCGGTTGGACTCCGGATGCGGGGAAGACTAGATACTGGTCGATGTAATCTTTGTATCCGCATTGCTCATGGAGGGTTTCTAGCTCCGCTAGGAAGCTTGCGTTGAAGTTGAAGAGGGCGTTGTTCTTCTGGACAAAGGGGACAACGGGTGCTTCTTCCTGCACGTAGTCGAATTGACCAATGCAGGGGTCATAGGCCAGTGCACCTGGGTGTATGGTCAGTCGAGGGCTCAAAATGGAAGTTTAGGTTGGTTGGTAAAGGATAACTCACCTTTCAGGTTGAAGTGTTCTGTATCGTTTTGGTCCAGGAAGGCCGCGGAGATGTAAGGAACATAGCGGCCCGCATAGCTTTCTCCTGTAACATAGATTTTGAAGTTCTTGATCCCAAAGATCTGCTGCCAGTTCTTGAAAAACTTCACAAAGTCTTCGGCAATCTCCTCCTCGGACGTGGCGGTTGGGACACCCAGAGAGAATCCCGTTCCCACGGGTTGGTCAACCCTACAAACTCAAATTAGGTCGATACTCTTCTCACAAACTCAACCAGCAATTCAAGAATATTACACACTTACCACAGAACGTTAGTGAGGTTCACCCACGAGTATGGGTTCTCTACTGGCTGGTAGGTTCCGGGCTGCCACACGAATCTACCATTTTCCTGAAGGAAGGCTTCAAGGGAACTGCAACCAGGGCCACCATTCAGCCAGATGGTGATCTCATCCACAGGTTCGCCGATAGTGGGCTGAAAGACGAAGAAAAGAGACCGTGAGAGGTTGCCCTTCTCAATGGGAACCAAGCCGGAGTACATCTCGCCCAGATCGAAATGAACATCAGGCAAGCTTTCCACGCGGTAAGCTAAACGACAAAAGTAAGCCAGCTGTCGTCGATTACCAAACTGAGATACATACGCTTAGTCTTGTTATTCAGGAACTGATAGTCCTCGACAGGAATCTTCAAAGAGTGTTTCACAGCGTTAGCGGAACGCTTCCCGATGTTCATGGCGTCGCGAGCTTTTTGGCCAAAACGACCATGCTTCGCAGCGGAAGCATTATCCGTGCACAACGAGACGGCTAAGACAGCCGTCGACAGCAGACTGCGAAACCGCATACTGAAAGGTCTTTGGGGGACGGGCCAGTGGACAGGCGTGCACGAACACCGAGCCTGTCGATTGGGGGTGCCGGGGCATTTATATGCGGGTGCCAGTTCCATGCTGCCTAACGATGATGTAGTGCAGCGACGCTAAGGCGACAATGCACACGGAGGGAACCATCTGATTGTCAGAGTGCGCTCACGGATTCAGGATTCGCAACCACTGGTACAAAGTGACTTATCGGAAACTGGAGGGCGGGGCATAGGCAACGCAACAAGGTGATGGGACCTTGCAGAAACACCTCTGGCGGGGCGTTGCGCGAATAGGATGCAACGAGGGATCAAGGAAGTACCAATAAGAAGCTCACGACAGCTATGTGAGAGAAGAAACAAGCATGATCGCAAGGAAGTTGGAGCGGTTGTCCTCGGAAGAGGCCTCGTGGGAAGATGAATACGATGCTCATTTCCTAATGCGGGAATACAGGCGGAAACTGCGGGCCTGTAGTGTGATGATAACGATTGTCGGTGACGATATCTCGATGGGGTATCAAGCTAAGCTTCGGCATTTGCTAGTGATAAGAGGCATTAATCAGCCGATATTGTGATGAACAGAGCCCTGAACACCTCCACTCGGTCTAGCTGGATGGCTGTGATACGGTGGATGGTCCCGCCATGTCTCATGGTGTCGCGGGAGTCCGTCGGGCGTCCGAACGGCAATGGGCCCGAGGGCAGAACTGCAGTCCTGCAGAATGGTAGCGCGCGCAGCTAGCCGATAAACCGAGAGCGCCGTGTCATTAGGACGGGATTCCTTTTTATGAACACTGATTGCCTGCTCATTAAGCTCAAGCTGTGTGCAACTACTCCGGCTGGAGCCTGCAGACTGCAGAGAGCTAGGGAGTAGTTAGACATCAGACGGTAATGGTCCGTGCGAGCTGCCAGAACGGTGGTGTTCCAGAGGGCTTGCTGTAAAAATTCCAACTATAGCTGTAATTATTGCGAGATTGCTAGGTATGCGGTATTGAAATGGTAAAGGGGCCGGTTAAGAGAGGTTGGTAGTGTAATATCTGTTAAGACATTTCACTGCAGCCAGGCAGCTGTCAGCTGATCCTTCGCCTCTTCTTCCTGCGTGGCCTCTGACCACCACCTCCTCCAACGACTAACCGTCTTCTTGAGACCTAGATAGATCAAATCCATATATCTTTGGCCCTTTGCCTTGACAATATCTGTGCTTAAAAATTCAACTATCCTTGTGTGGGTTGCTTCGAGGATCTTAGAATAAGTCGTTATGATAATTAGTCTATTATGATATAGTAGTACTAGGCCTGACCGGACAAAGGCCTTAACAAATAGTATATTGAGAAGGAGGTTCAGGAAGAGAGAGAGAAAAGAAGGCTGTTCATTAAATTCCCAACCGGATATTTTACTATTCATGTTAGGATAGATTACTGTCCAAGTATACTTCATAAAAAATAAATTACTTTCTAGTACTGACTTCTGATCTCAATTAAGATCTTCCTCGCGCATCGTGTTTGCTGAATCTGACGAATTTTATAGAATAATAATAGGAATCTAAGGAACGTAGGAAAAGATGATCTAATATCTTATAAAAAGTGTGGGGTTGATAGTGATAATCTCACTAAAATCATTGATAATCCTACTCCAAAGAGGCTCGAGGCGATTGTGCGTACAGCAAAATATAAATTAGAGGCAAAGACGTGTACGGAAGTAGGAAGAATAAGGTGATAATTCAGTAAGCTAGCTAGATCATAAATTGACAACTATAAGTCTCTTCTTAATATATTCCAAATACACTGATAACAGCGCGCATTGTCGAAACATTCCAGAGGCTTCATGTCCCTATCGTTTTCGTTTTTCTGTGAATATGACTTGGGACAGTACAAAACCTTCTCCCGTCCAGAAGAGCTCTTGAAGATGGTGTACTTTGACATATCAAATGTTAGCCTTCATTCAAGATAATCTATCCTCTGTCTATGATTCTGAGGATTTGCCGGATTTCTCGCCCGCTCGAATACGTCGCCTTACTACGAATCCTAACTCGCTGTCCGACGCAATTGGTTTCTTGAAGGATATAATTCCTTTGGGACCGCCAATATTAGCCTGCTGCATTGATGGACTCCGAATCTTAGATTCTTCGGAACAGTCCCATTGGTACCAAGATTGTTTGGAGTCCTTCATTGAAGTTATAGGAACCACAAAACCCCCTCATCCGCGCATCATGAAGGTATGGCTTTCCACTGATGGAAACAGCGAGGCCCTTCAGGTTGCCGTTAACGCCGGCTGGATTGAAGCCGATATTACAAACAGCGAGGGCGACGCAGAGCCTCTCGAGATAGATCAGTGGATGTAGCCAGGGGTATTTGGTCCTTTCTTTTGTATCCATATCGCACATATCAAACACAATCTGGCTTGTAGGAGCCTCCAATGGAATTAGGATTGATGGAATCAGAGCCCCTTTACTCGTTCTAAGCAATATTGCACGGTCCTGTGGATCGACCCCTACTCACATTTTCGGCAGAGGGTAGTAGATAAACACACTTCGTATATTGATCCAGTAGATCAACCACGGGCTCTTAGTAGTATAGCCCACTCATTGAAACTTGGAAGGCTGGCTCAAGTGCCAGATTAGGCAAGTGTTCTTCATTCTAACCCTGCAGATTGGCTCGAAATATTACTCGGACTTTCTTTCCTGGAACTTCTAGGTTACTAGTAAACTTCGGAATTTAGCGAAAAACAAAACAACCACGCGTTCTAGCTGGGGCGATTTTGTCCGCCGATGTCTTGGAATGCCCGAAACACTAGCGGTCTACTACCACCACCTGAAGGTTTTAGATGTAACATCTGATTGGCATACAGCCAATCCTGACTCCAGGGCTTCAGCGGCTCCAGTAATACAGCTGAGCCCAAGGAGCCAGCAACGAAAACCTATTGTCAGGGGCGTCACCTCTTATCTTGTACACTCTTGAGCTATATCAGCTCAATGTTAAAGTGTACGATCTTGTTTATCATCGCGTATACGGCTTCCAGAAGGTGTCTTTGCGGTGATTGAGGGCTGAAACCACACTTCAGCTCACCGGGAGCACTAGCGCCATCAACCTTCAGCGTATGCTTTCAGTTATCACAATCTTACGGACGCTACTTTAGAACCAGCTGCAGCGCTTACTATAAACCGACCCATCAACTTTAGGAGCCAGCCATCTTGAACGAAATCAATTAGATGCTGCAAATTGTATGTGAGAACATGTTATAACTACTTAATATGGGTGAATTGTTGTTCGTGCATACGTACTGGCGCAAGTAAGGGGGGGGGGGGGGGGGGGGGGGGTATTCTCCACACAAGGTGTCATGGATAGCGAATAGCATCTAAGAATAGTTTTTTCTTGCATTTAGTTGAGGCTGACGCGGAATATCCCATTTGGAATCCCGTCAATTCCAAGGATTATTCAGAGGCTGAAGATTGTGTCAACTCAGCTGTACTAATCAAAGAGGGGCATACTGCACTGCGTGTGACGGAGCTACTACCTAGCGTGCACTAGCTGGCAGCCTCGCACTGGCGGCGGCGTGTTGCATCTGACGCATATCATTGAGAGCGCAATAACGACCTAATATGATTAGGCATTTTGGTAAATTAAAATCCTTCCTTCCATTCTCACACACCCCAATTAATTCCCCGCAGGGTGCCTCATGGTTCGCAGAAAGATTACCACGGATTTAAGGGTGTTCATGGGGAAATTATCCGTTAAGGGAAGATGCCCGAGTGTATCTCTTTTCAATGGCGGAAATGTCGACCCCGAACGCAAGGCTGGCCGACGCGTAAGATGTGACAGATTGCTATAGATGTAGCGAGGGCTAATGACACCCGCATGAAGTTCTTCCTTCTGTGGATCTGTCTCATCTCAAGCCTAGGCACATATCTGATCAAGCCTATTCTTATAAACAGGCAAAACTAACCAACAAGATTCTCAAATGGTAAAGGTAATGCTCTAGTTTTCTAATGTCATGCTAATCGAAAAACGAGGATGTCGCAATTTCATGATAATCGTTCCTCCCACACTGCCCCTGCATTATTATACAAGCAGATCCACGATCCCATGTAGTCTTGTGCCACGATAGAGCAAGAATTTCATCTTAGATAGTAAGAATAAGATAGCCCTATATGCCATCAATATAAGTCTTTCCAAGGGACAGACCGACAAAATACTCACACCTGCAGTCAGTTTCATATCAAATCAAGTAATTGTGAGGTTGCCACCCCTTGCATCGCCACCCTTTGCAGCGCCCCCGGCATTCGCTCTGGCACTGCCTCCCGTCCCTGTCATCTTGATGCTGGCATCCGCACGGCTTGCCGGCATCTGAATGTTACCACCGGTGCCGTTACCGCCGGTGACAGCTTGGCCGCTTCCTCTCCAGCATCCATCATGTGCATCAGCATTACCACCGGTGCCAGAAGTTTCGTATTCGGGTCTGCGGTTCGGAGCGGCCATGGTAGCTAGGATTGTTCGCGTAGCGATAGGTCGCAATAGATAGTAAGGACTGATTTTGGATACTTCTGTGAAGGCAGGCAAAGAAGAAGTATTTATGCTGCTTCGGGGCATTGTCGGTTCCAGCTATCGTAGGCATGTTTGGTAGGAGGGAACATACCTCGCTTGGATCAACATCTACGTTGGCTGCACCTCGTACCTAGCGTAGGTGTAAAAAAAGAAAAGGAAAGGGAGATAAGAGAAGAGAAAAGGCATTTCTTTACGGAAATAAAAAAGAAAAATCAATGCAGAAAAAAGCAAATATGCTTCTCATATGCAATCTTACGCAGCGTCTGCTTCAGGAGGAGGGGGTCATACTGCGCCTTGTTCATGGCGATATTCCGGTTGGACAAGGAATTCTGTGGGGAATCATTGGCTCGGGGACTCCGCTCGAGTGTATCTTTTTTCAACGACGGAAATGTCGACCTCAACGCAAGGCTGCCCGATGTTGTGTACCTCGCGGGGTCGATAATTTTCTCTCTGGAAAATGGCAATCGTCTTGAAACTCGGCCGCATCACTGATCAAGCCCATACTCACAAGTTAGCCGGAGAATCGACGGGATTTGCAAAATGTCGTCACCTGGACTTTATGATATCAGTGGAGATAAGGAGGCAGATACTGTGTAGGTTTGCGAGAAACACTCGACTTTCATCCCGACCAGGCTAATGGAGTCGAAGCATCGTTGCTGTACATGGACTTGGCGGGGACTATCTCAAGACATGGGAGTGTGAGACGAACGGATGGAACTGGGTTCGATCGTCGATCGAGCCGAGGCTTCAACAAGAAAAGGGCATCAGATCACGAGTCCTATCATTTTCGTATACCGCGAAATTGATGTCCACCGAGCCGACCGAGAATATCAGACAAGTTGCAAAGGTCTTGTTGGAAGGACTGTACGTGAAAATGAACGAAATGAAGCACAAATCCGTCGGTATTATTTTCATCGCTCATAGTCTGGGTGGCTTGGTTGTGAAGAAGGTATACTCTCCCTGTTTGATTCCCCCCGAACTCCCATTTATCCACGAAAGGCCTACATAGAAATTCTGACCTGAATACCTGCTTTTGCATAGGCATTGAACATTGCCTCTTCCATTCACAACAGGCGGTATGAGAATCTTTCCAGCAGCGTACGAGGATGCCTCTTTCTGGGCGTACCGCACCATGGCGCGGGTCTAGCATCCGTGGCAGGCTGGGGGTCCTGGCTTTTAGGTCCATTGAAAAGGTCCAGTTACGTAGAGGATCTTCGTAGAGACTCCCCGGCCTGCCAGGAAATCAGCGAGGATTTTGTTCAAACCGCCAAAGACCTAAAGATTAGGACATTTTACGAAGACCGGCGGCTGAACGGTTTACTTGTGAGACGCCCTCCCCCGGTCAGATGAAACCACTGGTAGCTGACTCGCAGATTCAGGTGGTTCAATCATATTCTGCGCAAATGAATCAGCTAAGCGAGGTTGCAACGATGTTACAAGGATCCGACCACCGTACGATTTGCAAATTTCGTGGAGACGACGATGTACGGTACGGAGAGGTATGGGCTGCGTTGGTTGAAATCATCTTATTCAAAAAACCGAGTATGTTTTACCCCCAGAGATGCCCGTGCGGTGGACGCTGATGTGTAACTAACTCTTCCATATTCCATAGATATAGTTCCTGGTGTTTTGCCAGGCCCAGATTCCTCGGCCTACGAGGCCAATGCAGGATCTGGAGACGGAGGCTACGCAGACTACGGGGATAGCACGGGTGGCAGGATTACGGAGGCTTCAGTCAGCCTGGAAGAGTCACTCGGGGGCCACGGATTCGGAGGAAGTGCCAATGGATACCGCCACGCCATTGCAGGGGGCGCTGAGGGAGGTTCAGCATGTGGAAAGAATGCTCGGGGAGGAAATGCAAGGGGAGGAAAGGCTACACTGGCTAAATAGAAGCCAAGCCACAATTGAGTTTGACTAAATCTTAAAACGTGCCCTATCTAACGCCTAAGGAGCCTCTCCTTCATCGATCGGTTCTCCTCATGTTTATGAAAATTCCCCGATACCGCAATGCCCGCCGTCGCTTTTCCATCCACGTTGTTCGCACCTCCCCCAAAGCCATCCCCGCCCGCCCCAAAATCCCCCCAGGCATTTCCTCCAGTTCCACTGCCTCCCTTGGAGTTCCCCGATGGGTAGAATATGCCGCCGGTGGCGTGGCCTCCATGGGCGACGGCCTGCTTTTTGCTGTTGGAAGTCGCCTCGCCTCCCATACCAAAGCCGCCAGTGGCGACGATTGCCTTGGTGTTGTTGTGGATGACCAGGGTGTCTCCGGGTTTCAGAACCTCGCCGATAGAAGCGTAAAGGTTGGTGAGCTTTTTGTTGCCGTAGTAAAGAGTGAGTTCTCCCTTGAGGGTTTGAGTGGACTGTATATAGGCCTGCAACTGTCGGAGCGTCATGTCATCCCCTTGCTCCACCTTAATGTGTCTATCTGTGTCGTCGGCTGTTTTGTCCTTGTTATTATCGTTGAAATTGAGCAATAAGATAGAGGATCTGTACTCGCCGCCTTTGATAACGCAGTTGAATTTGATCTCATTGGCTTCGTCGTACTTTCCCATTTTGGCTGAAAGAGCGTGAATTGGGGTTTTTTGTCGTGAGTCTTGATTAGACCCGGAAAAAAGGTATGATGTGTTGTGTTGCGATTGCTTTCTTTGAGGTAGGGTTGTCTCTTCATTACACGGACATGGCTGGGGAGAGAGTAAGCTTTTATACCCAAGAATGGGTTCCATTGCCTTACCGGCCCTATCTTAAACTACTATCGGGGCTCAACATATCCTCCAAGAACGTACATACTATACTCACTCTTTCCATAGCCACCATGTCCATATCTGCAATCTGCGCCCCATCTAAGGCTCGGTTTCGGCCTGAGATGCCTTTCCAGTAGGCTCTGACGTGCAGTTGGACGGTGGCGTAAAAACCAATAACAGTCCTCTACATGAACCAAAGGAATCGACGGCAGGACGTCGGGATTTCATCGGTCAATTGAATTGTACTTTGCAGTTGATCTTTCTAGCCTGCGATATCAAGTTGCCAGGCGACACATCACCTACAGTAGGGTTAATTTTAGACCCTAATCTCTTTGCTTCGGGATTACCCAAAGAAGAAAATAGACATTCAATGCAAGAGAGCTTTTGCATGCATGATGTAGATGAAGTCAGTAATAACAGTATCACGATATTATTTACAGACATGTACCATGTCTATGCAATGTGAAGTCCTTCTTAGGCATCAGCACTCTAACATGTCACACGGGTCAAATTCGACCCCGCAGTAGTACCTGACTTGTGTGTGGTATATGTGATCAGTAATGATTTGCTGAGCTGGCGAATAAGGTGCATCATACTAGGCACCGTCTCAAAGGCGGACCTGTCGGTGGGTTGCCAGACAATTCTAAATCGTTATTTCTTTTTCCGGATTACTCAAAGGAGAGACAGATGTCCGATGCAATTCAAGTGATCTACAGTCTCATTTAAATGCAACGCGATGGCATCCTTCTCCATTCAACCCCGCTGTAACCTACTCTTGTGAACACTCCGTATGTGATTGAGAACTGATTTACAGAGCTGGCTGATAAGACACATATGTAGGCACCGTCTCACAGGCCGACCTGTCGAACAGGCAATGAACAACAGGCAATATCCGAAGTCCGAGTATAGAAATAGTATATTCAAATTTAGCTACCACAAATTTTGGACCAGTCTCACTGCGGGAATCAACAGCAACTCAGCCACACCACCCTAATCACAAGCGCTGCTGTCGTATTCCCGCCCCATCCCCTCAGCAGAGAGGCCGATCAATCGACTGATCCCCCCAAAAACACTCAGCTCAAAGATATGGATCCTCCCGACCCATTTCCTCCCGATACAGTCGATGAATCATTCCGACTCGCCGTAGTTGTGGTTGTTGAGGTAGCGCTCCCACCACTGCCGTTGCTTGTGATGTCTCCGGTATTAAAGGTCTTGGTGCCGTTATTATTGTGAGTCACTGTGTTTCCGCAGTTTGTGTTGTTGGTGTTTCCACAATTGTTCGATGTCGTGTTGCCACAGTTATTGCTCCAAGAGAAGCTGTTCCCGTTACTGCTCTGGGTCCAAGGCGCGTTTGTCCATGCCCATGGATTTGTGTTACCCGAGTTGTTTCTCGCAGAGCTCGAAGTATAATATGGGTTCGACATGTTTTGAGACGAGATAGACAAATTCAACTCAAGTGTAGGAATGAGTAGGCGAACAAGCAATTCGACGAAACAGATATAGGTGTAGAACGATTGTCTCGAGGATCAAACCAGCAGGGAAACGCCCCTTCTTATACAAGAGATCGGATGTGTCTCTTGAACTTTCTCTCTCAATACGGCCTGTGCCATGCTTTTATGCGTCCGTGTCACACCGCATTCCCGTCATGCAGGTTTGTTAATGGCAGGTCTTGGTGGTTCGAACTGCAGGTCCCAATGCATAGAGCGCCTAGAAGGGTTTGCACATGTAGAGTAATACTTCTTATGTGAATGTAAAAGAGTTCGTTTGATAGACTCATTCCAGTGCTTTAGAGGAAGTATGATCTACCAGGTAGATCAGATTGGATCTGATACCTGGCCATAAGTGTAAGTAGAATGTTTCGGCTTCAGCTACTTTCAAAGCGGGATGGTGAAAAGGAGAAGAATACAAAAGTAAATAAGTAACATAAGAATAAGACTAAGGTGGTTTTAAATTTAGTTTCAGTGTCATACAAATCAGGTTTACAATATGCACTCCTCAAGTCAGAGATTAATGCGAAGGGGTCGGAGTGTCAAGATCCTGACCCTCGGTTGGCGATGGGCTCGTATATAGCTATGAGTCAATGTGATAATCAGGAGCTTTGGAACCTTAGCGAAGACATATGATTCCCTGATTATCCATTTCAATTTAAAGTTGATGGAAAGGACAGTAAGGCTACCCATCTGCAAGGCATATTCTAACTACGGAGCACTCCGAATTGATAGGTTTTACAAATATAGACCTCCAACCGCTGCACGAAAACCCTATCCTCAAGCCAATGAAGATCAATTCAGCTCTCGATAACTATTCACAGAGAACAATGTATTATGTTGAGGCGCGCTCTATAAAGAAAGCAAGCAAAACACCAAAAGAAAGTAAAAGAATACGGTAAAAGTATATTTTATTAACTATCTAGAGTATACAGTAAGATGAATAAAACAAGATACTTGTTATGGCAGTCTTAATATTAACTATATAACCAAGCTTGGAGTATTTTACTAAGCTAATTTTAGCGGACCGCATTATTATAATGGGGCGGACCCTTTCTTATGAGTTAAGCTTATCCCATCTTCAGATCCTTTTATTTTTTCACCCTCACCTCTTTCCTCTTCTTTCCACTCAAATCCGATTTCCCAATTTCATTTCAAACTTCGCTTTGCTTGCATAATTGCTTCCGTCGATTGTAAGATATCTCCCACTTCACCTTGGATAGGCCTTTGCCAAGAAAGCCATCTCATCTCCTGGGCTTAAGTACCGAGATGATTTTGGATAGATCTCTTACTCTGTCCCACCAGCATCCTTCAGAATAGTCTGGAAGATGTCAACTTTTACCGCCTGGCAGGCTGATCTGTTCCTTTTGGTAAGACTTCTTACCCAACGATTATATGCATGTTTTGACGATATTCAAGGAGCATTGGCAGAAAGATTTGCCGGAATCCGTTGAAGCCCAACGCGAGGAAATATTCGCTAAATATGTGGCACTTGGAGTCTGCGGCCGCGAGGTAATTTGATTTTGGCCCCTCATTGCTTCAACCAACGATCTAATTCATCGGAGTAGCCGTATCGAAACCAGCAGCGAAAACTAGAGAAGAGGTCTGTTCGAGACCTTCCAGTACCTAGTCAAGAGCTATTAAATCGTATCCGCCTACCTGCTGAGCGTTACTTGAACGAGGATCCCTGCTGGCTCCGCACCTGCTACGACCCTTCTACAGAAGGCTCGTGGGCCCGAATTCAAGATTACATCGATACCAAGGTCGGCGGCTCAGTTACAGTTTTCAACGACTCATTTTTGTATAACTTTGGTTCCAGCTGGGAGAAGATTTTTCTTCGTGTCCCACAGCTACTGGATAATACTTGTTTGTTTGAAGAATATGAAGAGAATGTCCAGGAGGCCCTAGAAGAGGGACTTGAATCCGACGAGACGGATCCCCATCGTGCCGAGGAAAGCGGCTATGACCCAGAGGAGGATGGCAACCCTTGGATTTGCTTTTTTTCGGAGTACCTCTTCCGTTTAGCGGCGGGACACATCCACATCGTTGATGAAAAAACGTTGGCCTCAGAAGGCGCTGACGCAGGGACTGTCCTCATCATCTGGTACGACGAGTGTGGACGAGCAATCCGTTACTATCGCGAGGAAGCGATGCACGCAGCCGAAATTGCGAATCTCGACCCTTGTTATCTCAAGGAACGTGCGTGCTGGAATAATGCGGAGATTGGCGAATCCTATAAGTGGGGTGCACCCTTAGGGCCTCCCTATAGCTTGGATGAAAGCCGCGGTGAAACCTCTGAGTAGGAGATTTTGTCTCGTGGGGCTCACCTGAAATACAACGATTTTTAGCTTCAATTTGCACAATCAAAGACATACCTCGTATCCGGATAAGGATATTTCAGATTCAAACAATGGATCCTAGTGTGGACTGTATTTCTGAACGCTCCGACCTCTGTCTAGTCAGGGTACATGTACAAACGGTATGCGACAAGGCAAGGTGTTGTCGCACGTGATACAATGCAAGACATACATACATTCTTCTCTAATATACCCTCTATAGCTGGACATCAACCGGCCATCTTTATTCTCATGTGTGAGAAATAAAAAACAAAAAATCTTCTATTAGACATTTTATCCCGTTGTGGATGCTTAGCTGATTCTCGTGAGCTACCGAGCCGGGTACGTGAAGTCTACAGCAACATAGTTACTGATAGAATATTCTACTTTAGTTGTCTATATGACGACAATGCAGGGATTCAAGTACCAAAGAAGAGTGAGCAATGGTGGTACTTCGAATTGGATAAAATCAGAGATCAATACTTCCGAAATACTTCACACTACTCATGCCGTAAGGTCTGTTGTCTGCAACAATCAAGGAGTGTATTGAAGAAAACTATTCACACATAGTACCGCCCATCCATTTAGACAAAGAACTATCACTTTCCGCAGGCTTTCAATGTCCTGTGCCCTCCGGTAACTGAATAGGTCAGGTCTTCTTCGAAGGCAGCAAATTGTTAGGGTTCCAAGAGTGGAGATTGAAGGCAACGACCTCGGATTGCTCGGCCGAGTTGAGTTCCATTTCCCTTAACCGAACAATGCCTACAGACATGATCCTCTGGCTGACCAGCATTTACTCCCTACATGATCTTATTGTAAAGGATACATACCTATACATGTTTGCAAAATGGCTGTGAGCAAGAGAGAAAAGAATGGTTCACAGAGCAACTTCCACTTTACATCCGGACACCGACTTGTCGACACCGCGATAATGTCCATGACAGTGTTCATATTTCCTGTTTTCCAATTGATCGGTGACTACGCAACATCTCACATTTATCAAGGTATACACGAACAAACACCAGCCCTAGATACAATCTGTTCAGAGTGTCCACCAGCCGGCCGACGGTTCGCCAATGGGAAAGATTCCCGCTACTGGGAGCAGCCGAGGGAAACGCACCGGAAGGGAAAAGCCTCCACTGCGGAGCTAACAGGGCTGCTAAAGACCCTGTGGTTCCAATTGTGCTTTTTCAACCTTTTCCCCGACCATATCAGAGCACTTCCTCATCGCCACATTGGCATCCAGTCAGACTTGGGCTCATGGGGGTAGCCGTATATTCAAACTAGTTCCTCATACCTCCTCTGACCTCTATATCATCTTTTGGTCGTGGGTATCCTTGGGGTTACAAAATTTTTCTGTGTGTTCCTCATTAGCCGGCAAAACCCCCCCGCTCATCCTGCATTGCAAATAGAGGGGTGATATCACGCACATACGGTTAGGCCCCTTATAGCCAAACGGTCTGCGGTAGCTCGATACCTTTTTCTATCGTCTGCAGGGCGATAAAATGAGGTCTTCCGCCGATTTAGATATAGAGAAGACGGACGGAAACCGTGCAAGCAACAACATTCCAACCTTGCTCGGTTCTCCTTGTACAGATTCTCCCCCGTTTGGAGAAAAGGTCCTGGATGGTGCAACCGACACTCGTGAGTATCGTGAATTTCATGATGAAAGTACAGCCATCAACGTGACGGAGGAACAGTCTCATACAGGGGTCCAACACGAGGGCAGCCTACCGCATGCAGAGACAACGCTTGAAGATGGCCTCCAGAGACCCTCGTCTGAAGCGTCTGGCTCAGACAGCTCCGCACACAGCGCCCCGATGACTCGAGTCACAACGGATGCAGATGGAAACACTTATCCTGAAGGCGGTTTGGAGGCCTGGCTAGTTGTCTTTGGTAGTTTCATGGGTCTCTTTGGCTCCCTTGGCTTGGTGAACACCATTGGAACTTTCCAGACCTACATTGAGGATCACCAACTAAAAGAATACAGCTCTGGAACCACGGGCTGGATTTTTGGCATGTACGCCTTTTTGACCTTCTTCTGCGGTGTACAGATAGGTCCAGTCTTCGACGCCAAGGGTCCTCGATTCTTGGTCTTTTCGGGTGCCGTACTGGTCATCATCATGATGGTAGCTCTGGGTTTCTGCACCCAGTATTGGCATTTCATGCTGGTCATCGGTGTCGCTGGAGGTATTGGAGCCTCGCTCATCTTCACCCCCGCAATAGCCGCGATCGGCCATTTCTTCAACGAGAAACGTGGCGTTGCAACTGGCATTGCTGCCACAGGTGGCTCCGTAGGAGGTGTTGTTTTCCCTCTTACCTTGGAGGCCTTGTTCCCCAAGATAGGTTTTGCATGGGCAACCCGGGTGGTTGCGCTTCTTTGCCTTATCTCAGTGGCCATTGCGTGTTTGTTGATCAAGTCTCGATTGCCCAAAAAGCCCGCTGTAAAGGAAAATATGCTGCCCGATTTTCGTATTTTCCGGGAACCAAAATTTGCTCTTACCACAGCTGGCGTCTTCTTCATCGAATGGGGCCTCTTCATTCCGATCAGTTACATCTCTTCCTATGCCTTGGCTCATGGCGTTTCCTCCAAATTCTCGTACCAGATCCTGGCGATCCTCAATGCGGGTTCATTCTTCGGTAGAGGGATCCCTGGGTTTGTGGCCGATTATTTGGGACGGTTCAATACGCTCATCGCCACGGTTGCGTTATGCCTCGTCTGCAACGCGTGTCTCTGGCTTCCGGCCGGCAACAGTGTACCTGTCATGGTTGTGTACTGCGTTATTTTTGGTTTTGCAAGCGGCAGCAACATCAGTCTGACCCCTGTTTGCATCTCTCAGCTGTGTAAGATCGAGAATTACGGCAGGTACTATGCTACCGCGTACACGATTGTGAGTTTCGGGTAGGTTATCATGTACCTGTCAGGGTTCCACAAGTATGAGCTAACAACCTTCTACAGCACGCTTACGGGCATTCCCATCGCGGGAGAGATCCTGTCGCGATGCAATGGCGAGTATTGGGGCTTGATTACCTTCACGACTTGCTGCTACGCTCTTGGCCTCGTCTGCGTCACGTTGGTCAAAGTAATTCACGTTGGCTGGCGTCACCCACTAGCGATATACTGAGGGAATAACATCCGAATCGGGCATCCATGACTATCTATGCGACAAAATGAGCAATTTACCTGCCGCTACTGACGGAAGAAACAACAAAAACTTACCCACTATTGTCTAATAGTCTCACGAACCTAACGATCCCCATGACATGTCAAGACATGGAATCTAGAGCGGTCCAAACATGGTACCGTCAAAACTCTTAGCTTAAGCCTGGCCTGTGGCTATCTGCCGCACATCAATGTCTAATCCTTACAAAATCACTCAATAGACCCATTGAATTGAATAGCGTATTGCCATCTAGCCCAGAAAATAAACCGACTAGAACAACCACCAAGACCAATCGTGAGGTGACCATAGACCCTGAATCTCTGGTGTGCGGCGTCACCATGATAGCGACATCATCGTCTAGAACCCCCATGACATCTATCGAGCATCATGCCGTTACCTTTCACATGACTATATAAACCCTCTTTCTCTCCCTTTCAGCTGCGACGCTTCAAGCCAGGTCAATTGCAGCCCCTTCCTTTCAAAGTCCCCTCTCAATCTCTCTTTTCCTTCTTCTATACTTAACCCATACATCAAAGAAAGCAATCCACCATGTACCTCCGCACCTCCCTCCTCACCCTGGCTCTCGCGTCCGTCGCCCTCTCCGTCCCCGTCGACACCGTCGACAATGGCAACGCCCCAGCCAGCGTGCCCGCTCCCACCGCAGCCCCTGGCCAACCCGGGGACGTCAGCGCCGCCAGCATCCCCGGCTTCCCCGGCATCACAGCCACCGTGACCATCACTATCTCGCTGCCCTGTGCCGGTGTCACTGCAACCATTGGTCCCGCCGACAAGGGCCTCGAAGCCCGCGCCACAGACGCAGTTCCTAGCTCTAGTGCCTCTGCCTCTGTGATCAAGCCTACCAGCAGCAGCATCAGAACCCTATCTACCTGCGTGGCCTCTCCTACTTCCACTGGCGCTGTAGTGTCTGGCTGTGCTGACGATGATGACGATGACGACGACGACGACGACGACGACGACGATGATGACACAGACAATGGAAACGGCAATGGCAATGGGAATGGAAACGGCCCCTCGTTCATTCGAAAGCCCATTCAAACCACTACTTCCACAAAGACATCCGTGACTTCAGTCCCTACTGCTACTTCGACAACCTCACAGAAGACGACTGACTCCGCGGATCCATCTGCATCTGCAACTGCTACATCTACTCCTGCCATTCTACTCCCAGCACCAACTGAGACCTCCTCAAAGGGAGGCGATAGCAGCACAGCCACCACCACAGATGCCACATCCAAGACAAAGACCGACACTGATCCATCATCATCCACATTTTCCACTCTACCTTCCCCTTCCCCTTCGTCTTCCTCTTCGGCAGCAGACAAGTCTAGCACTACCACCACAGAGAACCCATCCCAAATCCCATCAACTACAGCTACTGCTACTGCTACTGCTAGTGACTCCACATCCGCCTCTGAAACTAAAACCAAGCAAGCCACTACAAAGTCTTCTCAGGACCCAAGCATCACTTCTACATCCACATCTACATCCACGACCGAGACCAAGTCCACAACCACCACCACCACAACCAAGAAATCCAAGATCAAGCGCGGATTTGCGGCAAACGCTACCGGGGTTATCGAGGTTCCGCCGTTGAAGCCGAAGCCTACTGGTGGGCGTTGAACGGGGGGACGAAAATGGGTATTTGATTGAGTAAAGGGAGATGGGGTCGAGCAAAGGGGGTGAAGTATTTGCTAAGTTGGTAGTTTAGGTTAACATCTTTTGAAAGTTTGGAGAGAGTAGGGGATAAAATCATAAATTGTTTGTTGGTTGCTTGGTATATCTCTCTCGTACTTTTCTTATGTCTAGCTAGCTGTATCTAAATGGGTTTAGTTTTGGTTTAAGCTTCACTTCATTCTTTCGTTGCTTTGGGGGAGGCATGGTGGGTATAGAAGGCAGGTACGTAGGCAGTCGTTCTTGGGTTATTCTGTGGTGGGTTGGTAAGTTTCTCACTCACTCACGTTTCTCTCTCTCTCTCTCTCTGTGTGTGTGTGTGTGTGAGAGAGAGTGATTTGATTGGTGGTGAAGAGAGTAGATAAGATGTATGCTGTTTTACTCCAGATGAAATGATTCAGATTGCGCCTGATTCTACCTACTTAGCTACCTAGCTACCTCATTGCTTTTGCTCTAATAGATACCACGAGAAGATATAACTTCCTTAAACCAACGTCCCTACTACAAGGGAAGAGTGTCGGCATACGCCGAGAGTGTAAATATGAAACTGTAGAAGAAAAGGAAAAGTTATGGCTGATTCAGGTCTTCCTGATCCCCAACCAAGGGGCTCATCTGCTAGTGTGAAAAGATTAAGTACAATACAAATAGGAAGGAGAAGATGACTCGGGTCGCAAAAAGCATGCGTTAAGAAGGTGGAACGAGTTTAGATGAGAAGAGAAAAAGGAGCTGCCGGGCAAATAACTGGAACATATGCAAGAGAATTTCCGCAAGCAAAAGCAGAAGGATGCTGGCTCCCTTGACCATTGCTTGACTCGCCCGTATTTGTCTTCATTCCATGCCGCAGGTTTATATGGAGAAACCCCGCCTGTGGTTCCTTGCGCCAAACACCTTACACCAGAGGTTTACTGGCATAAACAGTAACAACCGAAATCAAAACACACTATAGTATAGGCAGATGAGAAAGGGAAGAAGAGAGAGGCAAAATGAGAAATGCCATGGCTCGGCTGTCGACAATGTTACCAGCGACAAACGTATGCAAAAGCAGGAAAATCGACCGAGAAGCTGGGGAAACGAAGCGAAAGCGGAAGGCGTATGCGGTGGGACATAAGATGTAAGTTTTCCCGAAGGGAAACTGAGAGGAATAAAACGAGATGGGGTGCCAAGAATAGGTCACCAGGCCAAAGAACATTTCTTACAGGCGCAGCATAAAGAGATAGGGTATAAGGTTTGCATCGAAGCCATTCGGAAAGATGAAAGGAAAACAAGCGAAAGGATATCTTGAGAGCGTCTCACGAGCTGTTGGACCGCAGCAGTGCCTGGTAGAACCCGTTAGTATGACAAAGGTCCTTTTCGCAACTATGCAGGTGCAAGACTCACCCTTTCGACGGCAAGCTCATCCGCTCGGTCATTTGGGCTTGCGAGGCCACCACCACGATTAATAGTACTGGTTGCGGTCACGGATCGAGGTTCCAACCCCGGACGCTGTTGGCTCTTGCCATCAGGCCCACTGTGATGGACCGGGTGCATTTCACCACTACTTGAGATGCGCGACTCCTTGCTCTTCTCCAAAAGAGAACCACCTAACGTAGCACATTTGAGGATGGTCTGCATCATCTGATTCTGCTTCAGAGGTTTCGACAGGTACTCATCCATCTGGGCCTGGATACACTTCTCTCGATCACCCAACATGGCGTGTGCAGTTAGCGCGATGATCGGTGTCCGGCTGAGACCACTTTCCCTCTCATACTCCCGGATCTTGCCAGTGGCTTCGAAGCCACCCATGACTGGCATCTGGACATCCATCAGAATAACATCGTAGCGCCGTTGCTTGACGGCTTCTACAGCCTCGAGACCGTTGCTGACGACAGAAACGTTGTGGTTGTGTTTCTCGAGTATCTTCACGGCCAACTTCTGATTGACGTCGTTGTCCTCCGCCAGAAGGATGTCGAACGACCGGGAGTGGTCCGTAGTGATGGGTGTAGACCGTCCCTCAAGAGCAGGCAGCATACCATTACCGAGATCAATCGGCTGACAGGGCGTGGTCATATAGGAGCTGATACCGAGGTCGAGGGCAGACTTCAAACTGACACAGACCAGCGGGCATACCAAGACAATAGGAACGTACTTGAAGTCATCGAACGTCCGCAGCAGCCGAGCAGTGGCCACCGAGTCCACGATTATTACATCATAGGCATGGCCGGATTCTTTGCCGGACGGGTCCTGGATCTCAGGCGGCGGAACATGATCCTCGTTCCGCACCACTAACGGTTCCAGGTCGATTTGTTTGAGCATCTTCATCACATTCTCGGCCTGGCCGCCATTCTCGCCCTTGTCGATGAAAAGAACACGGTGGTTCTTGTACGGCATCAGCTGCGAGGCGATGACGCTCAAAGACTGGTCCGCCAGTTTGACAACGCAGGTGAAGTGGAAGGTACTGCCATGGCCATATTCCGAAGTGACCCAAACATCACCACCCATCAGGTTCACTAGGCGCTTGGAGATGGACAGACCAAGACCTGTTCCACCAAACCTCCTGGTAGTCGATCCGTCGGCCTGCTGGAAGGTGTCGAAGATGAGGTCTAGCTTGTCCTCCTCTATCCCGATACCTGTGTCGGAGACGGAGAATTCGAACGCATACTCATCTGCCGCGCACTGCTCTCGATCAGATTTGCAGATGGTGAGCTTGACCTCGCCGTGCTCGGTGAACTTGATGGCGTTGCCGACAAGATTGAGGATGATCTGCCGCAGACGGAAGGGATCACCGATGACATAGTCAGGAACGGTGTTGTCCACCTGGTACGTCAAACTCAGGAACTTCTCGTTGGCCTTGACGGCTAACGTCTTCAGGGCGTTGAAGACGGTTCCCCTCACGGTGAACGGGATGCTCTCGATCACCATACGGTTCGCTTCGATCTTGGAGATATCGAGTATGTCATCAATAATGGTGAGCAAGCTGTTTGCCAGGTTGTGCACGACATTCAACATCTCTCGAGTATATGGCTTGAGATCATCAGTGTCCAAGGTCAACTGCGTCATCCCGATGATACCGTTCATGGGCGTCCGAATCTCGTGACTCATGTTCGCAAGGAACTCGGATTTGGTGCGGTTGGCCAATTCTGCAGCTTCCCTGGCAGCCGTGTTACGTTGAATACTGTCTCGGAGGTTGGAAACCATCTTGTTGATCTTCCGCTTCAACTCATCCATTTCGCCGGATGCGTTGACCGTGATGAGCTTGGTGAAATCGCCGTCCGTGGCAGCATCCGTGATCTCACCGAATGCGCGCACCTGCGACGTCAAGTTTTCGGCCATGGTATTGACGTCTTCTGTAATCTCCTTCCATGTTCCAGCGATTCCTTCGACGTTAGCTTGACCACCCATCTTGCCATCCACGCCGACATCGCGGGCCACCTTCTTCAGTTCAGTTGCGAATTTGGCCAGTCGGTCAACCATGTGGTTGATGGTGACCTTCAACGTGAGTATTTCTCCTTGTGCATGGACCTCGATCTTCTTGCTAAGGTCACCCTTTGCAATGGCTTGCGTAACGTCTGATATACTCCGCACTTGGGAGGTCAGATTCTGGGCCATGGTGTTCACGTTGTCGGTTAGATCCTTCCATTTGCCTTCCACATTATCAACCTTGGCTTGACCGCCCAGTGTACCATCCGTGCCGACTTCACGTGCGACCTTGCTGACTTCGAAGGCAAAGGTATTTAGCCGGTCCACCATGCCGTTGATCGTGCTCTTCAAATCCAGGATTTCACCTTGGACATTCGCCGTCACCTTCTTTGTCAAATCACCCTTGGCGACGGCGGTGGTCACGTCGGCGATCTCCCTGACCTGGGTGGTCAGGTTGTTGGCCATACGGTTGACATTTTCGGTTAGATCCTTCCATGTGCCCTCCACATCGTTGACGGTGGCTTGACCACCCAGGACACCATCCGTACCGACCTCCTTGGCGATCTTGGTGACTTCTTGTGCGAACTGCCGTAGTTGGTCAACCATGGAATTGATGATATTTTTCAACTCTGCGATCTCCCCCTTGCAGTTCGCCTGAACCTTCTGCGTCAAGTCACCCTTCGCCACAGCCTTGGTAACCGTGGCGATATCTCGCACTTGTGTCGTAAGATTGTTCGCCATGGCGTTGACATTCACCGTGAGTTCGTTCCACATGCCTTGTACCCCTTCGATTTGGGCCTGTCCACCAAGCACACCTTCCGTACCGACGTCACGCGCGACGCGGGTGACCTCCGTTGCAAATGTTCTTAGTTGGTCCACCATGGTGTTGATCGTCTGTTGCAGTTCCAAAATTTCACCCTGGGCCCGGCTTTCGATCTTCTGGCTCAGGTCACCGTGGGCGACCGCTGTCGTGACCGCAGCGATCTCACGGACCTGATCGGTGAGATTCTTGGCCATTATGTTGACGTTCTCCGTCAACTCTTTCCAGATACCATGCACCCCAGTGATCTGAGCCTGACCACCGAGTATGCCCTCTGTTCCTACCTCTCGTGCGACTCGCGACACCTCGCTACCGAAGACTTGTAGTTGGTCCATCATGGTGTTGATTGTACGCTTGAAAGTGGCAATTTCGGGGTCCATCTCCAACGGGTGAATCTGCACCTTCATGGAGAGGTCACCATTTGCGACCTGGGTAATGATGCCGCCAATTTCCCGGAGAGCCTTTTGGAACGCTTCGTTGGCCTGCTGGTGCTTGCGTAGCTCCCGCTCCAGCAAGACCACATCTTCGTTTTCGACCTTGGTCAAAGCCCGTCGTGTTTGCTCCTCCTGTTGTTGTAATTCATCACGGACCTGAGCAATAATATCCTTCTGAAAACTTATTTCCTCCGCCTGTTTCTGGACATGATTCCGTAGGTAGCTGATATCCTCCTCGCGTACCAAACGTGTCCTTGAGTTCAGTTCCTCATCTTCATCACTCTCTTCATCATCGATGTCTTCCTCCACTTCGTGGTCTTCCGGTTCGATGGCCGATCGTCTGGATCCATGGGGTGGTGGTTGTGTTTTTTGATG